ATGTTCTGAATCTTTTGATGTTCAGACTGAGACAGTGGTTTGGGATCTCCAACAAGAACAGGTAACAACTTCTCTCATTCTACAGCAAATGCCAGACTTATGTCAGGGTCCCTGAATGGCCAGTGGGTTTTAGCTGTCGTGGGCAAGAATGTTCATTATGGATTTGTTAACAAAAGCCAAACCAAAGAACAACCCTGTATTGATGAACAAGAAATGAATGAAAAGTTATATTTTAATAGACTGACTGTCTCCTTAATATCCATATGCTAAAACTTAATTCCTAATGTGTTAGCATTAAAAGGCAGGGCCTGCAGGAGGTGATTAGGTCCTGAGGGCTCTGCCTTCATGAAGGGGATCAGTGCCCTTATAGAAGAGGCTAAATAGCTTGTTCACTTCTTCTACCATGTGCAGATCAAGGAGGAAGACACCATCTATGAAGAATGAGAGCACACTAGATGCCAAATCTGCAGGTGGCTTGCTTGGGCCTTCCTGACATCCAGAACTGTAAGCAATATACTTCGGATGATTAAGCTATAGTGTTACAGCAGCCCAAACAAAGACGATGCTCATGTGATAGGCTGCCATACTGCCATGAAAAAGAATAGACTTCTGCTTCATGCAACAAACAAATACTTCTCACAGGCATAAGTGAATAAAACCAGCACAAAAGGATATGTGCCACCTGATTCTATTGCTATAAAGTCCCTAAACAGGAAATTATAATCTATGTTACTAGAATTCAGGACAGTTATCTCCTTTCAGGATTGCAGTTTTGGAGGTCCTAGGACATGATCATTGGGCCTCATTGACGTGAGCTGGAGATGTGGTAGTCCATCAAGGCAAAGCAATAAGCCAACAAGATGAAGGCTCTGTCTGGCAATATGCTGTTTCTCAAGAAAGTAGTGCCATGCGTATCTTCATTTAGTATCTTTCCATCACACTGTACACTTGTGAAATACTCACTTGTCTATAGGTAGGCTATGTGGTCATGTGCTGAAAGATAAAGAAATAAAACTGCAGTTTAACTTGGGATCATGATTTATTTCTAGGTGATGTACCCATGACTGGACAATCTGGTTCGGAATAGTACAGCAATTAATCACGTCTGTGAAAACTGACTAGTTATTAACACAAGCAAGAGCTCAGCTCAGGCACGGCGTACAGCATTATATACCTTGCTCCTGCCAGTGATCTGATGTAGCCTTATAATTTACAAATTTTATGGTCTCAGGTTTAGGTTGACAAAGATGCTATTCCTGATTAAAGTGGGCACAGAGTTGTTCTCACGTAAGGCAGGAATTTTTCATATAGGCTGTGACCATACTGAAAGGTTTGAAAATTCTTGCCAAAGTTATAAAATAAGTGATGGAAAAGGTGAGTGATAGAAAGGCAATAAATGTCACACAGCAAGGGCATCTTCTGAAGCATCTTATAATGGGCAGAATACATTGAAAAGACAGCTTTGTAGACAGTCCTTTTATGACCCTCATTGCTGAAGCCTGTGCAAAACTTTTTGATCTGCCCATTCTCCCTACATTTCTCCTACCTGCTATTCCATGTCTCTTTTCCTCTGAGAAAGTGCTCACTTGGGAAAATTCAGATGGGACAGGGTTAGTCAGCTTTCGGCCATTATAACAAAATACGTGAGATAGTCAATTACAAAGAGAAAGGTTTATTTAGGGTCGCAGTTTTGGAGGTTCCAGCACATGATCATTGGGCCTCATTGATATGAGCTGGAGGTGTGGTAGTCCATCATGGCTGAGCAAAGAGAGGGATAAGGGGCCAGAGTTCCTTTTCTGGGACACACCTCAGTGGTCTCCCACGAGGCTCCACCTCCTCCAGGGTCCATCACCTCCCAAAAGAGTCACCCTGGGATCCAAGCCTTTATAATAGCTATTTTTTTTTCTTTTTCTCTATTATTTTTTTCTGAGACAGTCTCATATAGCCCAGGCTGGAGTTAAACTTTCTATATAGACAAGGATGACTTTGATCTCTTGATCTTCCTGCCTTAACCTCCCAGGTGCTGGGATTGCAGGTACATACCACCGTGCCCAGCATAACACATGTATCTTTGAGGGGCATTCATGATCCAAACTATAGCAGACATCCTGGCCAGCACTCAATAGGCACAGGTCTGGGCAATGCATGCATTTTGTCCCTTAGTCACAGCAGCTTGTTCGTCCCTGGGCACTCATCTCAGGCTGCACTATGATTCTCCATGGAGTTCCCCTCTGCATGCTAGGATGATGGTCTCAGGGTGTAAGCCCATGGCTACCTAGGACCACTTGGCGTGGCTGCAAGGAAGAAACTGGCCTCAGGTAGGAAAGCACCATGCCAACAAACAGAAAAGCAAAGGGAACAGAAATAAATCAAGAGGGAACTGACTGCCCACTCTCAGGCAAATGCTTCTTGTAACTGCTCCTCTTCCATGAAACACTCTAGCTCTTTCCTGGGCATGCCAGACAGCAAAATGTCTTAATCTGGTTTGAACTGAATTTCTGCTCTGGGTAACAGAAGTCTTAAGTGCACCAATAAATATGTAATTAGAAGTACAGTAAAGTCACAAGTCATCATTCAAGGGTAAGGAGAGAAGAGACCAAACTGTGAGCACAGTTGAGGCCAGCCACCTAGAGTCATGGAGCAGACACTCTGCTGTGACACAGCCACACGGCAGTAGTCATCTACTGGTACATGTCATATATCCACTCAGTTCCTTTGACTCTTCCCAGGATTCAGTACAAAACTCTGCCTACCTCTGCCATCACCTCAATACCAATCTTCAGCTCATTCCTTTTCTTTATTCCCAAACACCCAAAGAGCAAGTAGATTCCAGGCTTGGAGAGCAGCTCATGGGCAGGGTGCTTTCACTCCAGTGTACGACCACAGATTCCATTCAGTCTCAGCTCTTGGGAAAAGTGAGTGAATTCCACTGTTGAGTAAGTTCACTGTGAGGTCAAGGCCCATACTAGTGCTCTTGGTTAGAAGAGTGCCTTGTGAGTTCTATGAAATCACTTTTCCTAAACTGTTCAGCCAATGGGAGGCTTGGAAAATTTGAGCAAGAGGGTTGAGCTGTCTTTTGTTATATGAAAACACTGTTCATGTGTGTATATGTGTATATGAAAACACTGTTCATTTTCATTGCCCTATTCTAAAAATGCTTTGATTCGTCACACAGAACTCAAAAGGAAAATGGACATTTCTTCACCAAAGCACCTGTTGTCTGGTATTTTTGCTGGTTTTTGTCTTACCAGTGGATGATGGCATGCTGTGAGCACAAGATTTTGTCTTACTGAATTTGTATACTCAGCCTTTAGCACTGTCCTTGGGCAAACAGGCACCTGATACCTCCCTACTATACACGTGACTGCTTACACTCCACAGAACCTTGCTTCTCTAAGTGTGACCTGCAGTCCAGTAGTATAGACATCTGGGACAGAGAGTTGGGAAGACAGAATCTGGACCCCACCTTGGATCTGCTGGTTTGTAAGTTAGGTGGTTTGTATGCACAAACAAGTTTTGAAAAGTATTGCTGTAGGGAAGAGAGGATCCAGGAAATATCTTGGAGTCTTCTGCGGGAAGTGACAGGACACAGTACAAAACAAAAGAAAAATGTCCCTGTGGCCAGAAGCAGAATCTGTCCAGGTAGAAAGTGCAGATGATTCTGGAAGCAATGTGCGCTCTCAGACTGTGTGGAATGGATGTGCTAAATTGAGGCAGTGCCACACCCTGGCAGAGAATTGCCTGGGTGAGAAAGAGGGAGAGGGTAGGTACTAGAAGCTCAGGTGGAAGATGAGGAGGGCTGCAGGCAGGGAGGTGAAGGGGAGGGGTTGGGCCAGCCAGGAGAGCAAAGTCAGCAGCTGACTGATATGAGAAGGAGGGATGAAGGGAAAAAGCAGCTAAGGTTGAGAGCCTGCTGGGCTGGAATAGGCACCGCAGTGACCATCAGGGGGAGGCAGTTAACCCACCCCCACATCCCGCAGAAAGGTTTGGAGGGTCCTTGCCCCCCCCCAAAATCCCGATCACACAAAAATTACACGGTTTTTCATCCTCCACCTTTAAGCTGGAGTTCATGTTTAAATTTACAATTTGATCTGAGTGACGCTCTGGTGCTGGGAGGAGACTCAGGCTTATAAAGCACAACTATCAGGTCCTTAATCCTAGACTCCATTGATGTGGTAAAGGGAAGCAATAAATTAACAGCCTCTCTTCAGTATTCAGTACTCAAATGAATTGGGTTGGGGCCAGCGCCTGCCGGAAGCTTTTACAAGAACTCCCTAAATGATTTCCATTCGAAAACCGCTCCAAGAGCACTTAATAAGTGCAATTTGGTGACGATAATGGTGATCCACGCAGCAGCAGCATCTATGCAGTTCAGCAAATGTCCCGGAGAACAATAATATCGAACTAGGCCCTGGACACATGTGAGGAAAAGAGTCCCTCTGCAGAGTGACCAACTGTAATTCTAAAAGAGCTGGCTGAGCATTTAGCTGTTTTAAGGCTCCTCCGCCCTAATGTGCTCACGCCTCAGCCCTCCTGCAGATCCTGAAAAAAATGGTATCGCCTCTACGCCATTCTGGCCATGAACGTGGCAGTTTGGGGAAAGGCATGAAGAACCGTGGCCCACGGAGTCCGGGGCTCCCGGAGAAGCCACAGGAACAAAATAGGTCGCGGAGCTCCCCAGCAGTGCTCTGCCGCTCTGCTCGGTGGCCATCACCGCCGGGTGTGGCCCTGGCGGCGCGCGCTTCCCTTACTCTAGGCATCCTACGTGGGCCACCCTCGCCCACCCAACGCAGACCCTCGCCACCCCTTGCCCGGTGCAGCGCGCACTGCCTCCCGCGGTTTCCGCGGGCGCGCGGGCGGGTACGCGCAGAACGGGGGCGCGCTGGGAGCGTGTGGGCCAGGCGAGCGCAGGGCGCAGAGCCCAGCGCGAGCGCAGCCAGCCGCTCACCTGAGGCCGGCTCACCTGCTGCCGAGCGCCCCCCGCCTCCCCACCCCGGCCCCTCGCTGCAGGCGCCATCACCGACGTGCGACGCGGGCAGCACGCTCTCTCTGGAAGCACCGGAGGAGCCCCTTCAGCCAGGGCGTGCCAAGGTGACCCCCGATGACCCCCGCCCCCAGGCTGCCTGTCCCCGCCCCCTGTCAGTCCCCCGCGCGTCCCTGCTAGGGGAGCGGTGGCAATGCATGAGCATCCGTCTGTCTGTCTCTGCACCTCTGTCGCACACACCTGCCTTCCGTGGTCCTCGCTCACTGCTCTGTGCACATGGGGAGAGCCTGAGACCCCCCCTCTTTGTTTTGGTCCGGAGGTGTGTTTGAGGGTGTGCACGCGCGCGGGGGATGCTTTGGGAGGGTGGGAGTTTGAGGCGGTTTAAATATTCCATCGAGGATGGCGGCTCCCTCCTCCAGACTTGTGGCTGCTGGGTGGCGTTCCCGGCAGCTGCCCAGATGTCAAACAGTTGTTCATTTTCAGCATGCAAGATGCAATTCGCAAATGTGCATTCCCGGCGCTTTGGCGAGCAGACCGCCGCGAGTGTGTGTGTGTGTGTGTGTGTGTGTGTGTGTGTGTCTGTCTGTCTGTCTGTCTGTCTGTCTGTCTGTCTGTCTCGCTTACACTCATGTTTGGAAGTCCTGTCCCGTGTTCCCCCCAGTGAAAAACGACATTTTTGGTTGTGGGGTTTAATCCACTTTGGCTTTTATTTTATTTCCCCGCCGTTTATAATTCCCGAGCTTGTGGCATTTGACACTGGTATGTGAGCAGGGGCTGTCTGTCCGTTCGTCTGTCTTGTCTGTCTGTCTGTCTGTCTGTCTGTGTTTTGCATGATCTTGGGTTGTCATCAGGTCGTACCCAAACATTAAAAAGCCTGTCTTTCCGTTGAAGAGGACAGGGATTAAAATGAATGAAGACCTGAAGGTCAATTTAAGCGGGCTGCCTCGGGATTATATAGATGCCGGTGCCCTGGAGAACGTCTCAGTCGCTGTCCCCTCCCAGGTTCCTGTTGTGGACCCACAGCCTGAGCTGGTAGTCAACCCCTGGGACATTGTTCTGTGCACCTCAGGAACCCTCATCTCCTGTGAAAATGCCGTTGTGGTCCTTATCATCTTCCACAACCCCAGCCTGCGTGCACCCATGTTCCTGCTGATAGGCAGCCTGGCTCTTGCAGACCTCCTGGCTGGCATCGGACTCATTGTCAATTTTGTTTTTGCCTACCTGCTGCAGTCAGAAGCCACAAAGCTGGTCACAATTGGACTCATTGTCGCCTCTTTCTCTGCCTCTGTCTGCAGTTTGCTGGCTATCACTGTGGACCGCTACCTCTCGCTGTATTACGCCCTGACGTACCATTCGGAGAGGACGGTTACATTTACTTATGTCATGCTGATCATCCTCTGGGGAGCCTCCATCTGCCTGGGGCTGCTGCCCATCATGGGCTGGAACTGCCTGAGGGATGAGTCCACCTGCAGCGTGGTCAAACCTCTGACCAAGAACAACACGGCCATCCTTTCTGTCTCCTTCCTCTTCATGTTTGCTTTGATGCTTCAACTCTACATTCAGATTTGTAAGATTGTGATGAGGCACGCCCATCAGATAGCTCTGCAGCATCACTTCCTGGCCACGTCGCACTACGTGACCACTCGGAAAGGGGTCTCGACGCTGGCCATCATCCTGGGGACTTTCGCTGCATGCTGGATGCCTTTCACCCTCTATTCCTTGATCGCAGATTACACCTACCCCTCCATCTACACCTACGCCACACTCCTACCCGCAACCTACAACTCCATCATCAACCCTGTCATTTACGCTTTCAGAAACCAAGAGATCCAGAAAGCCCTCTGCCTCATTTGCTGTGGCTGCATCCCTTCCTCTCTGTCCCAGAGAGCACGGTCTCCCAGCGATGTGTAGCAGCCCTCTACTTAGAAGGACACTGGCTCTACCAAGCACTTGCACTGCCCAGATGACTAGGGCTCTTCCCTTAAATTCTTTGCACTGGATTCTCTCAAGCTACAAGGACACTTAGTATCGGTGAAGCAATGACATCATGTAGATAAAGTGAAAATAATGTTACCAGTGTTGTCACCTTTTTAAAAAATTGACTACTCACCATTATGTTGTTTGGTTTGGGAGTTAAGAGTTTTTTATGTTATATTTGGGAGTATGCTTTTTTTATTCAAACTTGTTTGGAGGATGTGGTTGGGTGGAAAAGGAACGGATTTTACATGGCTGTGATGTTGTACACAAGTCCCAGAATTTTTACCTAGACTAAAATAAATCTGAGTTTTTCAGGCAACTGGAGAAGGAATTACTTTTTCTGGGCTTAAAAAAATGCAAGGTAGATATTCATTGCTATTTATGTGTAACAGAATATGATTTCTTTCAAACCACCAACATAGTTTACATAATTATGTTTGGAAAGGATTTTTTTTTTCTTGGTCTTTTTGAGACAAGATCTCCCCACAGCTGGCCTGGATTCGCTGTGGAGACCAGGATTGCCTCGAACTCACAGAGATCCTCTTGCCTCTGCCTCAGGAGTGTTGAGATTAAAGGTGTGTGCCACCATGCCCAGCTGGAAAGGAATTTTTTAATTTACATGAACTCAATAATTTACCAACAACAAATCCATGACCTCATTTAGTCTTTTTTAACTTTCAGTAATTACTGTTCATAAGAATTACTTTACAATTTCTCTAAGTGTTACAACTCCTTAAGCATGGTTGCCTATTTTAGCCAGATCACTAGTTTCAAATTTGCCATGTAAATCCATAATTAAAAGTTATTTCAATACAGTTTTTAATATATGCTTTCTAAAATGAATCATAAAATATGTTTTAAATTATATATGAAGTAGAGTTGATTAGATTCACCACTGTAATTTTTTAAGCTACAGCCTGACTGTTTTCAGGAAACAAAAGGGAAAAATATTAATAGTAACTATTGGAAGTAGATTGTATTTATTTTAATATATTCTGAAAAATAAATTAGTGTGAAGCTATTGAGAATATACAAACATCACTGTTCATATCTCTGTCTAAAAGTATATTAATAGTTGTTCTTGATTAAGACAAGTAGAATTAAGTATTATAAACCAAGTTTTTCTGGTTCATATTTTGGTAGCACGAAATGCATTTGAAGCAGGCAGCCTCCAATTTTAATGAATAAGTGGAATGCACATCATATTATGTGACTTGTATGTGTCAGCTATGCCTTGTGAGCTCACAAGTAGAATGATCATATGTCCATGAAAAGTTAAAATTTTTTTCACCAAAAGGCATCTTAAAAAATGCAATAAGAACCTGTTTTCTGAGAGCAAAAGTTTAGTTGAGAAATTACATAAAAGAACTGACTTTGAACACAATATGACATCATTGTGCCTGTATGCCATTTTCTGTGAGTGCAAACGGGTGTAGACACAGATACCATCCCTCCATTTGTAATAGACTTATTTGCTGTGTCTATACAACCAATGGAAGAATTTCTGGACAGCACATCAACTTTTAGATGGTAGCAAGACCAGTGTTTCAGGGTCATTGGGGGAATCATTTGTAATAGGTAGGTACCCTCAATTGTTTGTTCCAAATGGCATGCCAACGGCGGTCTCAGGACCTGTCTCAGTAGCCTGCACGTTCAAGCCATCTCTCCAGAGCTGCTTCTACAGTAGCCTGTGAGACTAAATCCTCTACTTGAATCTGTGTCTCCCTTCTGAGGTTATAGAAATAGGAGAGGGACTGAAATAGTTAAGCAGTCGGAAAGGATTTTCAACACTGTATGAACACCCAAATCCAACTGATAGCTTTAAAACATTTCTTTTGACTATTGGATGGGCTTGGTAGATTGAATAGGTTGAATATTTTTTGTTATTTTTGTTTTTATTTATTTGTGTGTGTGTGTGTGTGTGTGTGTGTGTGTGTGTGTGTATGTGTGTGTCAATGTATGTAACCTGTGTAGATGCCAGTGGAGGCCAGAAGAGGGCATCAGATTCCCCGGAGCTGGAATTACAGGCACTTGTGACATGGGTGCTAGGAACTCAGGTCCTTTGGAAGAGCAGGAAGCACTTTTACCTGCTGAATCATCTCTCCAGCCCCAGTCTGTTTATTTTTAATCATTTAAAATGTATCAAGAAATGACAAAGGTAAATTAGTTCAGGCATGGGCTGGGAAATATTCATAATAAGGTTTTAAAGCAATAGATCTATAGAAATGGCAATTCCCATTTGCATATCTCTGGTAAGAATTATAAAGAGAACAGCAAGTTTGATCTTGACCGCATGTGTTCTAAGCCCCATTCTTGGTGTTTCACCTGCTCTTTTGCTGTAGCCATAAAAACACACTTGCAGGTGGGAAACCTGCAGCTGAAAGGCAAGGTTAAGCAGGCTGCAGTCACAGAGCCCCGGGGTCGGGCTAGAAGTTGAAGCCAGGTTTTCCAAAGCCTAAATCTAACTCCTTCCCTGCATAAAGTTGTCTTTGATCCTTCACTGGAAAGAAGCCAGAGGAAAAACTGCCTTCTTAATATATTCCTGTCACAAAATTTGAGGTCTCGTATTAAGATAAAGCTTCCAGTTTGAAATTACATGTGTGTGGAGCAACAACCTATGTGGCTGGGCATACAAGAGGATTGTGTGCACGGTATACTTTGTGAAATGGTCTTATAAATACGAATTCAGTGGCTGCTTAATTTTTTTTTACATTTATTTTGTGTGTGCAAATACATCACAGGATTGCTACAGCACGTGTGTGCAGGTCAGAAGACAGCTTGTGGAAAACAGTTCCAGTTTTTCTCTTCCACCATGTGGGCTGTGAGGATTGACATCAGGTGGTTAGGCTTTGAAGCAAGAGCCTTTACCTGCTGAGCCATCTCACAGACCCAGTGGCTGCTTTTGACACATTTTTAAAGTGGCTGATTTTATCAGAAGGGTTTTTTAAAAAAACTTTTTGTCTACAGTATGAAGAGTTTTGATCATTTAGGTGATTTCCTACAAGGTTTCTTTGGTCTTAATAAAGCTAATTGCTAAGAAATGTACACCTCTCTCAATATGTATGTATATACTTACCAAGCCTGCGAGTATATATGTGTATATCATGGAAAATAGTCATTTTCAGCAGCTCTAGGACAGCAGGTAATCTTTTGTTCCATATAACTACAAATACTGTATATCAAGGAATTTGTATTATTTTCAGTAGAAACACTTGTCTTTGCAAGTCAAACAATTTAAGTATTTTATCAGACTCCTTATGTAGTTGGAGACTATTTACCCAGGATGTGGCTATTCAGATTTTTGTTTCATTTTATCCCTTTAACTTCCTTTATTTCATTCATTTGTTTGTTTGCTTTGCCCACTTTCCCTTTCCTTTTTTTCTTTTCCTGTGCTGAGGTTCAATTCCAGAGCTTTGCACACGTGAGGCAGGTGTTCTACCACTGAGCTACCTACTCAGCTCCACTCAAATTTGTGGATGGCAGAATGGACCATCATCCTTCTTGGTACCTAAGACAGGGGTCAGGACCCCTCTTCCTCAGAAGCCTAAATCAAAAGGCCAAGTTAGGGAGCAGAAATAGTCTTAGATCTCCCTAGGATTTAAGGCAGGCTTGAAGCGAGACATTTAGAAAAGTAGATGGGGAATTGTGGTAATTAGTACCAAAACCAAATACAATGGAGCATTCTTAAACTTAAAAAAATACTTCACCCATTATTAAAATAATGATTGCCTTTATTTCATGGTTTCAGTATGTATCATATGAACATAGATCGCTTACCATTTCACACTGGAACTACATACTAAATCAGTGACCACTATGGTATGATTTTCAAGTCATGCTTATATCTCCATCTTGCTGATTCACCCACTGTAATAAAGGAACAGATTGCCTTCCTGTTTAAAATATGTACTGCTTATTGGATGGTTTTGGTGTCTGGTTAGGATCTTTAGATTTGGTTTGAACTTTAAGAATAATTAAATGAAGAATTTTGTAATAGTTTTATATATCATGGTTAAATTAGTAGACAAATCTGCCTTCTAAAAACCAATGAAGAAAAAGAGAATAGTCATTTTCATAAGGACACCTAGAATGTTTCATATTTAGGGGTCATATGAATCCACTGAGAATCCTGTTAAAATGTAGATTCTGGGCCACTAGCTCCTGGCATGGTTGAGTTTCTCACCAACTCCCAGGTGATACTGGAGTTGAGGGCCTGTAAATGACAGAGTCTCACAAGTAAGCGTCAAATTTTCAGCATTCTCAAAATAGATATATAATATATAAATATTGATAAATACACATGTTTAAAGTGCTTATTCTTGTAAGGTTAATGAATAACTAGTGTGGATATGAATTTTAAACTTTTTCTAGAATTTCCCAGTATGTATCAGTAAAGATATGTAAATGTATTGGTTCTGTGTCAATGTTCTTTTTTTTTTTTTTAATCTTAATTGTAATTATTTTAAGGTAGTTTTGTTCCGTTGGAAACTCTGTACACATGCTATGTATCTCTATGTGTGGATGTGGACTCCCAGCAATGAAGGGCCATTTTCAAGGGCATCTTTCTTTATGATGTGAGTAGTTTGTGTGTACATGCATGGATTCAACTTGGGATAATTAAGATCAAAACCTTTATTCTCTGGGCTCAGAACTCAAACTGAATTCATCAAAAAGCAATCTTTTTGTAGATAGAACATCAAAGAAACTTTAAACCATCTCACCTCCATTTGACATTTATCTCTAACCTTTTCATTTTTCAGCATTAAAAATACTGTTACTCTTATCCTGGACAGTTCATTTACTGTGCTTCCTTTCTGCCCAAAGAGATGAGAATTTTACATTTTATTTTTTTCCAATATATTAAAGTACATAATTGAGGTGAATGCCAACATACAACTTAAATATCTCCATTGTAGAAAATATATACAAAGGATATTTAGGAAATTTTTTTTGGCACAGCAGCTCACTACGTAGCCCAGGTTAGAATCTGGATTTTTCTACATCTCAAGCTCAGCATGATGGCATAGGTCTGTAATTGTATGGAAAGCACTTGGGAAGCTGATGCAGGCAGACCAGGAGTCTAAAGCCAGCCTGAGCTACATAGCAAGACAATTTCAAAAGAATCAGATTCTAGAGTTGTACACTAATGAACAAACTTTCACTTAAAAAGTGAAAATGTTTACTTGCGCACAGATTACCTTAGTATTTGACTCTTTGAACAGATGATTTTGAGTAGAATATTTTTAAAGGCAAAAAAAATTTTTATGGAAGTCTCTGAAAGGCTTGGATTTAGATTTCTCAAACAAACAACATATTTTGAACCCAGGATATTCTTTCT